ACGTTCTTGGTCTCTCACAGATCGAGACTGTATCTACGGTAGATTAGCGTTTCTTTCTTTCCCTGCAAGAACTTGTGTATGAATGATGTCGATGATAACAAATGGCTTAAGCAGTTGTTGCAAAGGAAAATGAGCTGAGGAGAGCAGGTGTGTGTCAGTAGGCCCTGCAATGTCTTTCAGCTGTTTACTTAGAAGAGGGAGGGCATGGGACAGGCTGCGAGCTGAGGACAGGGCAGTGTGTCCCAAGGATCGATGGGAGGCGAACCTGGGTAGGACTCTGTCTTTCATTATTCTTTCTTGTCTTTAATTTATACTCCTCTTAACATGATCCAGTGAACGCAGACGTTAGTTAGAGCTTTGGTTCATGTTATAGTTGGTTGGAACAGATAGAAAAAAATGTTACTAGTGGGAAAGGACTTTGAAAATCTAGTAATCATTAGCAGTTCAGATGGGAGACATGTGTCTCTAAGCAGAGTTAATAAGAAAACCTTCCCTGGCAAGATTTCACATTAGCTGCAGTTTGGCCTTTCTAGTAAACATCAAGCAGGTCAAACAGCTTTGCTTTCCAACCAAGTCTGTCAGCAACACTATGATTGTGGAGCTTTTTGTATACAGGAGGAATCATTTACCAGGTCCAGGGGAAAACGAAGGGCACAATGAGTTAAATCCTTGTTCAAAGGCACCTGGCAGCAGAGCTCAAACCAGAAACAAAACAAAACAAAGAGATCTCTTTAAGTGTGTTTACTTATTGTTTGTATTTATGTGTATGTGTGTGTGTCTGCTTGTCTGTATGTGCATCATGTGTGTTCAGGTGCTGTTGGAGACTAGAAGAGGGTGTCAGATCCCCTGGAGCTAGAGTTTCAAGCTGTCCTGAGCCACCCAGAGTGAGTGCTGGGAACTGAGCAAGCACTCTCCTCCTCCTCCTCTTCTTCATTATTGAAAATAGATTCTTTTCTCATTCAATATATCTTGATTATAATTTCCCCTCCCTCTATGCCTCCCAATTCCTCCCTACCTCCCTCCCCCACCTCCCTTCTGGATCCACTCCTGTCTCTCATTAGAAAAGAACAGGCTTCTAAGAGATGATGAAATATGACAAAAGAAAATATAATAAGAGGAAGCAAAAATTTTCATATTAAAGTTGGACATGGAAACCCAACAGGAGGAAAAGAGTCCCAAGAGCAGGCAAAAGAGTCAGAGACCCACTTGTTCTCATAGTCAGGAGTCCCATAAAAATACCAATATATTATAGCCAATAGCTATAATATATATGAAGACAACCTGGTGCAGACCCTATTAGGCCCTGTGCTCTGAGTAAGCACTCTTAATTACTGAGCCCAGAGTTTCAGCTTGGACACATCTCTAAAGAATAAAGTCCTAGCTGGGCAGTGGTGGCACATGCTTTTAATCCCAGCACTCAGGAGGCAGAGGCAGGCTCTTGAACTGTGTGAGTTCAAGGCCAGCCTGGTCTACAGAGCGAGTTCCAGGACAGTTAGAACTACACACAGTGAAACCCTGTTTTGAAAAACAAACAAAAGAGTAAAGTCCTGGTCTAGCCTCCATTTCATCACTCCATGGATTTGCTTTATTATGCCAAATCCAAGGTAGGTGAATAAAGAAAGGTGACAATCAGCTAGTTATTACCAATTCAAACACTGTGGGGAATATTCCTGCTGATGGAAATGTATTTACAATGAATGTCAAAAGGAAGAGAAAAAATAAGTTGGAATGAGCCGGGTGGTTGTGGTGCATGCCTTTAATCTCAGTACTTGGGAGACAGAACCAGGCAGATATCTGTGAGTTTGAGGTCAGCCTGGTCTACAGAGCAAGGCAGGCACCAAAACTACACAGAGAAACTCTGTCTCCAAAAAATAAAAAACAAACAAACAAACAAGTTGAAATGGATCATAGAAACTTGTAAGTAGACTGTGATATGTATGGACTCTACACTAGTCACTTGCAGTAAGAATTAAAGAGATGTCAACTTCACTGTTCAGATGCAGATATGGTTCATTCATCTCTTATTCTCAACTATGAGCTATCTTGATGTGTTGGACAGGATGAGCAGTTGTGAACCACCCCCATCTTTTTTTTTTTTAAACAGATTTTTTCATTTTAAACACACAGGAAGACCCCAGGAAATCCTTTTCTGGTTTTAGATTCATGTAAAGAAAAAGATGTGAAGCTCAGATCTTTGCACCATTTGGTAATTATTCAGTGACTAACAGCTGTTCCTCTTGATTCTCTGTGATATCGACAAATCAGAATGAGGATTTTACAAAGCCCCTTTGATTTTAAAACTCTAAACAGTAAAGAATAAGTGTCTCCTCAAAAGGAAATTAAATGTTTTAAGAAATACATATAGTAAATGTTTTGAAATTATTCAGCTCTCTAGAAATAATGAAGTGTTCATTCATCTTATGAGATGTAGCTCAGGCAGGAAGCTTGTGAAATGCTCTGTAATGGGTGAGTCCTCCTGGGACAATATTTATTTTTGTTATTATGCTATTAGCATATTTTGCTAATATACTATTAATATTTTAATGAAATGATTCTATTCCTTTGCTCACAAAAGTGATTGTTTAATGTAACAGGTTATCCTATCTGGCTTATAGGCTATAAGCCAATTCATGTTTGCCATTTTTATCCCTTCTGAATTAGCTATTTGTCTTCTTGTTGTGACAACCTACCTAACAAAAGCAACTTAAGTAAGGAAGGGTTTATTTTGGCTCACAGTTTAAGTGTACTGTTTGTTATCATGGGGAAGGCATGTGGTAGGAGCTTGGGGCTGCTCCTGCATCCACAGTCAGGAATCAGAGAGCAATGAATATCACTGCTCAACTTGTTTTCTTCTTTTTAGTCAGTTCAGGGCCTCATGCTGTAAAATGGTAACACCCAACTTTAGGGTGGATCCTCCCACCTCAATTAAGCTAGCCTAGAAAATCCCTCACAAACATGCTTAGAGATTTGCTTCCATAGTGATTCTAGGTTTCATCAAGTTGAAAGTCAAGACTAACCATTAACGACTTCTAAGCACTATTTGTTTTAGAAGGCATGTGTGCACTGTCTTTGCGTGACAAACCACAGAACTTTTTACAATATATTCCACAAGTGAGTTCTATAAATAAATGAAGTCCCAGGGTGATAGCATATTGGGTTACAGTTATATAATAACTATGCCAAACACCCAATCAAAATAAGTGGAACATAGTGTATTCACATCACTATGCTATTTAAGCTATAAAATTAGGGTGACATATTCTTAACTTTGTTTTTTTTCAGTATTCAGGTCAGCAGGGCTCAGTGAACACAACCGCATACTGAACTGTGGAATCTGGGTGAATGGATAGAAATATATTCAACTAGTTATCATTAGCACCAGCATCCTCAGACCTGCGTTTTCTGGTTTACGTGAGTCACTGCTGAACTCTGTGCAGGATATTTCCCCAAGGCTCCCTTCTAAAACATTTTATGTTATTTATTTCATGTGCATGCATGCCAGGGTGTACATGTAGAGGTCAGAGGACAACTTTCAGGGGTTAATTCTTTCTTTCCACCATGTAGGCTCTTCTAAAGGGCTCTTTATAGCAATGGCAAGGGGTGGAACAAAAGACCTCCCCCAGCACAGCCAAGTGCAGACCCTTTCCAGTCCCCTGGTAACCACACACATGGTCAAGCAATTCTCTAATGCAGCCCTGTTGGGTAAAACAAGCTCAGATCTCACTAGGAAACCTTTGTGGGCCTCCACAATGGTCCGACTGTCACTAGAGGCTGAGATGGAAATCACGAATTAGAAGCACTGAAGAATTTGGCCAGTCCCTGCTGGCTTAATGGTATAAGGGGCTGTGAACTGAAGCAGGTGGGCAGAGCTGAGGGGTTATGAATGGCTTCTTATGACAGCCAGCAAAACCCAAGAACTTCAGTGCTCTGACCACAACACATGAAATCAAATGGGCTTAGAAGAGAACTGTAAGCTGCATGACCAGGTGGATGTAGGACGGTGAGGCACAAACCCTGTCAACATCTTGAATTATCTTTATGAGTTCTTTAGCAGAGAACATAGCTGGGCTGTATCCTCAACCACTTAGTCTCCAGTAGTTTGCTTTGCAATTTTGGAATCTAATATGCCACAGATTGAATTTTAGATATCCACTGGGTTAGAACCCGATCAACCTTAGCTTATATCCTGTCTAAAGCCTTTGTTCTTTAGCCCCCTTCTCATTCTTGCCAAATAAGAAACAGACATATAGAAATCTAACATTTATGTCGGTCTGTCAGTTTAGGACATAAGACTAATAATAAACTGTTGAATCTATCGTATGAGTTTAATGTACAATGGCAAATGGCTTTGAGCTTTTCATAACTTAAGAGATACATCTGGAGACTGCCTACCCCCCACTGTTTTGTTTGTTGGTTTGTTTTTTGAGACTGGGTTTCTCTGTGTAGTTTTGGTGCCTGTTCTGGATCTCACTCTGTAGACCAGGCTGGCCTCGAACTCACAGAGGTCCGCCTGGCTCTGCCTCCGGATTTCTGGGACTAAAGGCGTGCGCCACCACCGCCCGGCTTTACCCTCCACTGTTGTGCTGGTTAGTCTTTGTCAACTTGACACAAGCTAGAGTCACCTGAGAAGAGGGGTCCTCAGCTGAGGAATTGCTTCCTTCAGATTGCATGGACTTGTTTGCTACCCGAAGGTGTCTATGACTAGAGACTAGCTTGGAATTACTATGTATATTTCAAAGTAGTATGAGAAGAGAATCTGCCACCAGTGATGAGTTAAAACGCCATGCTGAGGGCCATGTGAACGAGGTCTGAAGTGTCCAAGCTGACAGGGTTAGTCAGCTTTGGACTTGGAGGGTACTCAGGACAAGTCAGCCCCTGGCCGACCTCCAACTGACAGAGCCAAATGGAAGCTACATGGACAGAATCGAGATGTCTCAGCTGAGACTTGTCTATGCTACCACCGCACCATGAGAAAATTATTTATTTGAAGACACTAAGTTTGGACATAATCATTCTAATGTATTAGGTAATGGATGTAGACATTAGAACCTGATATGGATAAAAGTCATGGCTTCAACATATGATTTCAAATTGAAAACTATGCTTTTTTGAATGAATTATTGACTCACATGTAAGAGACACAGTGAAGATTTAAGGCACAAAAGAACACATATGTCAGGATTCTTTCAGGGAATGTTTATGCTTGCCTTGTGCCTTCAGAACCCTCTCGGATGATGGTTAGGATGGTTTGCAAGATGACGTATAAGGAAACTGCCAAAGGACAAAAACAGCATGTCTTGATCCAAATGGACTGTTTTCTCTACTTTATGCTCCAAACGCTCACTTCGTTCTCCAGTTTTCTTTAGGAATCACTTTTAAAGTTCCCCCTTCCCATCACAGCAAACGCATGAGCCTAATGCCAGGTTCACAAGTTCCCTTTTGGATGAGTGCTCGAAGTTGGAAAATGACTACATATGTTTTCCAGTAATGTGAGACTATAGAATCTGTCACCGTGGTGGGCTGAGTGACTCAGAATGCATGTTAGAGGTGCTTTCCTCTGGTGCTCTATTTGGTGATAGCCCGCCTGCCAAGGCCTACCATGACCTGACAAAGAACCGAGTCAACCAGAAACGAAAGCCATCGTGCAGCTCAGTGTGCTCGTAGGTCCTTGGTTTCCATGACATTCCCAGAGTCCTGTCCATGTTTGGACTCATCGTGGAGTGCGGAATCACCTGAGGGTACTGGGACTTCTAGCTGTTCTCAGAAGTACCAGGTTTAGCTGCTCAACAACTACCAGTCACGCATCAGCTGTGGGACAGGCGCTGTGACAGATGTTATAAAGGTATGAACATGAATGCTACTAATTTTAAAGCTCTTATTTCCAGGGTCTACCCGCAATGGCTCCAGGGAAAACTTAAGTTGACTTAGTTGAGCTTGCCTGGATCAGAATCCTCTGGTTCCCCAGGGTTGTGAGACATTTAGCTTCCAAAAGTGGATTTCATACTATCTGCTGTCAACTGAAAAAAAAATTCAAAGTAAATATTTGCTCTCTTTCTTATTTGTTTTTGTGTTAAAAGAAATGTGGGACCCGATACCACAGGGAAGGCTCTGAAGGCATCTATCTCAGACAGTAGAACAAACTGTATGTTTCCATTTCTTTGAGAGGGCAGGGAAGGGAAAAGCTGTGTGGTCACTTAACACATTCAGACACTCTGCTCAATGGTTGGCACTGTGGAAGTTTGTCCAGTCTGCCTTGGAGGGTCAAGTCAAGCACACTGGTAGGGTAGGGTTTTCCCAAAGTGAGACTCAAAGTCATGCTTTTTATATCACCTGGTCAGGCTGCCATAAAAGAACACCACAGATTGCAAAGGTATAAGTAAGACCCTTTATTTTATTTTGATACCATTTTGGAGGCTGGAATGTAAGGGTCAAGATGCCAGGAATGGTTGTTTTCTAGTAAGGTTTCTTGTTCTGGTTTCTAGATGTTGCTTTCTGTCTGTGTCTTCGTAAGTGTGTGTGTGTGTGTGTGTGTGTGTGTGTGTGTGTGTCCGTGTGTGTCCTCATGTGTTTTGGGGGTGGGACTGTCACTTTCCTTCCTGTAAGGTCATTGTGCTGGTTAATATTGATTGCCAGCTGGGGTCTAGAATTACCAGACACAAGCCTTTGGGTAAATCTGTGAGGCTATTACAAAGACTAGGTTAACTGAAGTGGGACACCCCACCCTAAACATGGGTGGCACTCTCCACTGGCTGTGGTCTGGGACTACATGAGAAGGAGGAAGAGGTTGAGCACCAGCACTCACCTCTGCTGGCTGGAACAGTGTGAGCCACCCGACACTCCTGTCTCGTGCCTTTCCTGTAATGATCTCCTTGAACTATATGTCTGTTCTTCCTAAGTTGCTTCTTTCAGGTCTTTTGTTTTGGCAACAGGACAAGTAACTAACATATAGTCACCTTATGATCTAATTTAACTTGATTACCTCTATACAGGGCTTATCGCCAAACATAGCTCTACTGGGGTGAGAGTGGTCAGGATTTCAATTTGTGATGTTGTGGGGAGTATAGAATCTAGACCCTAGCACTTCTTATAGGACACATGCTAAATTACGCCTGAGGATGTATGGATAAATATATATACATCAAGCACAAAATGTGCTCAGGGAATGCATATTAGCAATGCAGTGTGGTAATTACAATGTTGTGCTCATTACAGATGGGAAGAATGAACCCATTCAATTAGTGCAGGTCAGGAAGGCTTTTCAGAGGAGCCTTAGACTCAGGGAGGCTTTTGGATCTGAGAGTGGGTAGAGGTATACCAGGCAGAGGCAGAAGCATGTGGGAGAACGTATGAGGTGACCTACTCACCATGACGTCTGGTGTCAACAGTCACAGAGCAGGGCCATGCAGCAAAGTCCTAAGTGCTTAGGGGATGTAGGGAGAGCATGCAGGCATGGTCCAGATTTCAGGGGAGGATGCTGTCCTCTGGAACACTGCTCTAAGCAGCTTGAACTTCACCTCGTAGCAGCAATTGGGAACCTGTTACACATTGGACATTGAGTCTATCATGTCCCTTCCAGGTCCATGCTTGCCGTGTGGCCTACAGCCAGTGGTGGTATTTTGAGGGCTATGGAATCTTCGGGGTGTGCTTGTCAGTGTCATCACTAGTGGTGGGCTTTAAAAATGTTAACTGGCACATGACTCTACTCTCACTCTTTTCTGCCCTTGGTCATGATGTAAGGAGTTACCATTAGACACACCAGCCACCAGGAAGGACTTAGACTTGTGAGCTGAAGTAGTCCCTCCTTCCCTTGTTGCCAGCAGGTGTTCTGTCGAAGTGGCCAGAAAAGCAGCTAAAGCAATAGAGATTTTAGCAGCAGCAGCAACCGAGCATTGTGTACTGAAAAGTTCACCCGGAAAGCAGGTGGGACACTGTGACGATGGTGGCCAGGACTGGTTAAGACACCCCATCATACTGTGGCAACAGAGCCCAGAGGCAAGTGTGGAGCTACAGGTGAAGGGGGAAAGGGGTAGCTAGCCGTTTTAGTCAGAACTTAAGAGTTGACATCAGGGTGGGGAGGAGTAGGAATTTAGGCTGGATCCCAAGTTCTGGTGGTGACTAGGGAGCCATTATGGAGAGACAAAAGACCATGCAAGGCAGGGGTGAGGGGCAATGGCAGCAGAAGATGAGTGAAGGGCAAGCAGAACGCTGCTCAGACTGGGAAGGCTCTAATATATAATAATGTATATAATATATATAATTATATTATATAAATTCTAAAACAAGTTGTTGGTTTAACTCTATGTGGAAGTAGCAAATAAAGATTGCAAAGTTATCATGATTACATGTCATATTTCAGACTAATATGAAGAGTGTAAATCTGGGGTAAGTGAGTCTGTTGCTTAGCAGGCTTCAGGGTAGGGAGGATGGCTGGGAGCTGGCTGAGGACACTGTATAGGACAGATACCTTTGGAATGAGTAATTTGCTCACTGAAATCCATTGAGAGCATTTTTTTTTTCTGTGTGACTATGACCTAAGCTCTTTGTATCAGAAACGTTTCCTAATAAATAAATCCTTAGTCATCTTTGCAAAGGAACTTAAAAAGCTTTTGGTGTAGAACCATCAACCTGCTGGCCTTATTTTCCCCGAGACAGGTCCTGCTTTTGCATCTGCTGTGACTCGGGTACATGGCAATGTTAGAACCTTTGGATTGGCCAGAGAAACATCTCGATGTAAGAGAGCCAGAGAATGAAAATTAGAGAGGGTTTTTAAAAAAAGACCAGAATCAGTCCTTCATTGAATTAAGCCTCCAACTGCCCTTTCATGAGGGTGGGGAGGAAAGCCCGGGTCATGGGTTCTGAGCCTTCAGTTGGCTGTGAGTTTGTGTAAGTAAAACAAACTCCTTTTGAGTTTTCTTCCAAAAATATTTGGCAGGAATTCAACTGTCTGGAGAGAGACAGACAGACAGAGACTGAGACTGAGAGACACAGAGAGATAGAGAGAATAGAGAGAACACAGAAAGGAGGGAACCCAGAGAGACAAAGACAGAGATACACAGAGACACAGAGAGACACAAAGACACACAGAGACACAACGAGGCAAAGAGAAAAGACAGAGACAGAAAGACAGACAGAGGGGCAGAGACAGACAGAGCAAGAGACAGAGGAGACACAGAGAGAGACAAAAAAGGCACACATATACAGAGACAGAAAGATGAGAGAGCGCATACACAAGCCGGTGCGCAATGAATTTTAAAATGTGGACCCAGTGAACTTGCATCTGTCACCTTCCGTTCGGCAGGTGACAATTTTCCCTTCTACCTTCCTGGTCTTCTTTCCTGGGTTCCCGAGCGAACCAAAGGAAAGCAAATTACAGAGGCCCCTGCCACCTGACCCAGGACCCAGAGCACTCATCTCCGCCCACTAGGGGCCAACCGGAGCCGAAAGCTCGGGGGGCGTGGCCTGGAGCGTGGGGCGTGGCCTGGAGATGACTCAGCGGCCCCGCCCCACCCCTGCCCCGCCCCGCCACTTAATTCTGACGCGCGGGGCCGCGGGTTGTGAGAGCCGCCCGGAGCCGGACGGGCTTCAGAGTCGGGCGTTGCAACCGCCGTCGGAACCGCCCTCTCGCCACCTCGGCGGCCAAGGTACCGGCTACCACCGCAAGCGGCGGAGCGCGCCGGGGAGCCGCGCGCCTTTGTGCGAGGTAGGCTGGCCCCACACTTACTTCGCACACAAAGACGAGGGGCTTGCGAGGCGGCCGCCCGCGGGGACACAGCGACGCCTGCCTGACCCCGGCCCGGGGGGACCCTGACGTTGGCCAGCAGCGCGGGGTGGGTTCGCGGTCCCTCGGGCGCAAGCGGGCGGCCGGGAGCCGGATGGCCCGCGCCGCCTGGGCAGGTCGAGGGTGCAGGGCCCGGGCGGCGGCCCCGATCGAGGGGCGCTGGGGCGGAGGGGCCCCTGGAGAGGCGGGGAATCCAGGCTGCTGCTCGGCTCATTGTTGTCTCCTCGGCCCTGCAGACCCAGACCCCCGAGACCCTGGCTGCAGCGGCTGCGCTGCCCGCGGCCAGATGCCAGCCTCGCCTGCCCCGGAGGCTGGATGGGGTCAGCGGCCCGACGCCAGCCCCTGCCGGGCAGACAAAGGCGGGGTCGTGCTACTGAGAAAGGTGGTGGTGACAACCGTTTCCTTTCTGCAAGTAACTTTTCTGTGTCGGACTCTGCTGTGCCTCTTTGAGTCCTGTAACCCCAGGAGGTTGGCTGATGTCTACGCACTAAAATTCCCTATATTTTGTTTGGGTTCTGTGATTGCCTCCTCCGACAGTTCTGGATGACTGGGAGGTAATCTGATGCTTTAGAGCCAAGTTTTGACATGTGTGCGGGAAGTGAAGCGTCCCAGCTCTCTTTGAAATTTAGAGGGCTCCAGTTGAGAGGATGAAGTGCAGACACCAACCATACCAGTCCCTTCTCAGAAAAAATTTTTGTCCAGGACGGCTAAGCGAAGTTACTTGTTGAGAATGGGTGTGACGTTGAAGGGGCTAACAGAAGAACAGGATGGGGCATGTTAGACTTGACCTTCTGAATTTGAGCCTCCTTGCTAACAGGTAGGCCGCTGACTTTTTCTAGGCATGGCCACCCCTCTGTCATTTGGAAATGCTAGCTGTTAAAGTTGCTTTAAATCCTGTCAGAGGTGCCAGTACCCGTCTAACGAAGATTTCTTAGTGTTTGTAGTTTCAGGCTTTACACTTCCAATTATATAATGTATATTTCAACACACACACACACACACACACACACACACACACACACAGAGAGAGAGAGAGAGAGAGAGAGAGAGAGAGAGAGAGAGAGAGAGAGAAGGTCATTCGTGTGGCCATCACCCAAACATACCCTGAGGATGAAGGCATGCTTGCTTCATTCATGGTAGGGAAGTGTGGTGTGTGTGTGTATAGAGAGAGAGAGAGAGAGAGACTAAATGAATACATTACTAATTCCTAACCTTGGCATTTGTCTAAAGTATGACATTTAATAATGATAACTTTGCAATATTCCTTTGCCATTTTCCCAGAGGATTAGACCAACAACTTGTTTTGGAATATATTTTCTCAGAGCCTTGCCAGTAACCACTTATACATAAGGGAGAGGGACGATGAAGGAAAAGTAATTTGTTCTGCACTTTACTGGAGAGAGCGCATCAAAAGGATTCATGGAATATACATATATATGCATATACATAGGTATGTGTATATACTTTGAATTTCAGGAGTAGCATGGACTGACTCTGTTTAAAAAGCAAATCTTCTTCTTACTTTAAAAATATTCTGAGATTCATGAGAAATGCATAATGGAAAGAGCTCCTTTGTAGAAAGAATAGCCATGGCTTTCCAGATGCATCCAAACGTGCTTCAGACAGAGTTTGAGTCAAGAAAGTAAAATAAGTTTCCACTGTGCAGTGAGGGGTTTTGAGTGTCTAAAAAGTCACTCAGTTACATATTTGGCCAAATACATGGATGTGTTTGTCATTACTTTTATTTTCCCCTTGTAAAAATTTTGATCTTTGAATTCTTTAATATGCAAAGTAGAAAGAAGCCTTTGAGATAGCCCTTTAGAAGCAGGGTGCTGAGGAGATGATGCAATAGTTTTTGAAGCCTGGAGACATCATAAGGAGGAAGTTGTGGCTGTGTGCTATCAGGTACATGGTTTTGTTGCTCTTCCTCCCGTTTGGAGTCTGCATCTGTACTTTGGGGTTCCTTAACCTGCATGCACACTTGGAGTAGTTGCAGGGTTGTAGTGACCCCTGGATGGAGGGCAGAATGTTATGTCTCTGTCGTGATCTGTGGTGTTTCCTAGTCATGGCACTTCACTACACAATAGAATCCAAAGAAAGTCCAGGAGGAAATCGCAGCATGCCCAGCTCTTATTTTCCATCCCTCCATGGAGCTGTGGACAGTGAGAACAACAACCAACTTGGACCTCAAGTCAGAGTTTGGAAGTTCTGTTCTGTTACCATGCAGGACGAGAGCCAGTTGTTGGAGTGTCCAGTATCAGGGCTGGAGAGTCCATTCCTGAAGTGGTTAAAAGACTTGTTTTGTACTTGAGAGACATGCTCAGAGAAATTGTGTTCCTGACCTGTAGGAAGCCAGATGCTTTACTTGTGCATTTGTTTAAAATGCACAAGTAAAGGTAGGAAGTGTCTTTACTGATTTTCTCTGTGCTGATTGAGGGGTAGAAGACAGCTCTTCTCACCAAAAGCGGGGCACAGGTGAGGACTGTGGCTTAGTTATGGTTGTTAGTGTCTAAATGCCCCATCCTTCTAGAATTCAGTGTGTAAGAGTGTTTTCAGAAACCAGACTTGGGAGTTTGGTTCAGTGAGATCTGGATTTTCAGACATTTGTGGAAATTCATATTTCTAGAAATATGTGCTGAGTCTAGAAAAAGTGCTGGGGGGAAATTAGGCAGCGTTGGGGCTCACTGGCTCCACACTGAGCGGGAGTGAAGGTCTATGTATGCATCCACAGCTATATCTAACTTTGGCATGGTCCCATGAGAACGTCCCATTTCCTTGGGTCTAATCTTTGCCTGTTCTTGCTTTTCCTGCTCGAAGCCATCTATTATTATTTTCTCTTTTCCTTCCTGTGGACAAGTGCTGGGTCTTTTCCATCTGAACTTTTCCTCACCCCGAGGACTTGTGGGAATGCACTTAAAGGAATGGATGCTTGCTTTTATCCACCCAGCATCACGGGTTCTGTGCTTCAGCCGTGAGAGAAATACAGTTATTTGGGAAGCTGGCCTGGGTTACCACTTAGACATGGTAAGTCGATGGGGACTGTCCTGAGGTCGCTGGAGAGGCTCTGCAGAGGTGCTCGGGGCCGGGCACTGAGTTTATTGTCGTTAACAAGGCCAACGCGGCCTTTGTAGCGGGGTAGGCAAGGGGGATGTTTTAAGAGTTGTACCAAGTGACCCCCACATTGTTTAGTGGCTGTTGCTTGCAGGGTTGTAAATAGAAACGAGCACTTTTTGATTTAAGCTGTTCTAGAAAGAATGATTAAAAACCACAGGGCAGGATGGGGGTTGAGTTTCTAACTGTGTAAAGTCTGATGTGGCAGGCAGACACATGGAGCTGAGAGAGTATGAGTTGCCCAGGGCCTGCTGACGGGGGGGCTAGCTGAACTAACAGGAGGGGTGCTGTGTTTCGTCTCGAGTTTGACTGGGATGTTAGGACAGTCTCTAGTGTAGAATTGAGGAATGACTGAGAGACGCCACAGCATGTTTTCATCATCCTCACTGAAGGTAAACCTCAGGGCCAGCAGCCCTGGAAGCCAGTTAGAGTGACATGGTGTCCTGACCTGCAGAGATTCTGAGAAATGAATACTGGTGTTACCCAGAGATCAGCCGACTACAGCTGTGTTTCCTCCCCCTTTTCTGGAAATTCGATTACCGATGAAGAGGTGGCTAGAGGAGCTTGTGGGAAAACAGTGAGAGACTGTCTTCAGAGTATTCCCAAACTTGTGTGGGATGCAGGAAGGAAGAGGGGATAGTGTCAGGAGGACTGTGTTTACATCAGAGGAACACAGGGTAGCTCTACCAAAGATGTCACTCAAAGTGGAATATGT